GAACACAAAATTGGGTACATAATAGTATAACTGATAAACAGCGCCCTTGAATAGTACACACGGCCGCTTCCTGCATAAACAAAACTTACACATCCTGGTATAATATGACAACTGATAAGTGATATCCATTTGACACGAGCAACTCAACTTTTAAAATGTTTACATGAATATTGGCTCTATACAGTACAAGACGGAGGTAGGGTATACTTGCCACATTTTATATAATATATATCAGATGTTAGAAATGGTAAGACACTTATAACTTTTTCTATTTTGATTTCGAATCGACTGAACGAATTCCAATATTCTGTGAAACATAAAATAACTATGGCTGTATATTATTGTAACCATTAAAGTAGAAGTTTTTAAAACTCAATTAAAAAAAAATATTAAATTAGACAAACAACAAAATGTATCTTTGCACACCCTGTATACGTTAATTTAGTCAGAGTACGCGTAGCTGACCGGCCGCGTGATCTTGGCGACGTAATTTGATCGTGTGCTAAAATATTTGAAGTCTAAAACCAAAAATATTTGAAGTCTAAGCTAAAAATATGTTATCACATCACGTATAGGTATTTGATAAGGATACCGCAAGCACCCATATACATGGTCATATATGGATGCAGGCGCGCGTACTTATGTGCTTGAAGCGGTCTAATGAATTGTTCGTTGACTGTATAAGAAACAATCTTGTTTGAGTGTTTACTGCTGAGTACGAACATTTCAGAAATTGCACTTTAAATAATGTGACAATCACACAAAAAGAACCATCTGATTTTGGTCCCATTAATTTTTTCGTTTCTAGTATGGCGCATTTTCGTTTGACTGTCAGCCCCGATGGTTAAAATAATTTTAAATATTCCATCAAAACAGAGTCGGTACGTTTGCATCAAATTGTTACAGTAGTTAACCCATATATTATTATATGGATGAGGTGAACAACGTACGTATGCAGTTAAAACTGTCAAAACCTAAGTATTTACGCTTAAAATCAGCCACGCTTGGAACCTTGATAATTTTTTCGGGCTCGGTTTCTAGAAGAAACGAAAACGTTCCTGTTCCGGTTTCGGTACGATTCTGAGAATGAAACAATAATAATTTCTGTTCGCTAAAGTGGAAAAATTATTTTAGTAAAGTATATTATACTGAATACCTGTTCCGTGATTTCTAAAATATTTAAATAAGGGTTCAGACTTTCAGAGTATCCGACAGGTTTCGGTACCTTATTCATATTATTGATTATAATCTTTTTTGATTAGATGCAACGTTTATTTGATTTTTTGTAACCTACTTCATAGTATAATAATAATCATACGCTGAACAAACAAACCGTTATTATTTGTCATTCATTAATTATTAGTTGTTTGAGAACCCCCGATTTAAATACAACACCAATTGCGTCCCGGATATTTTTTGACGCAATTCGTGTATATTACGCCTACAAATGGGTAGCACATAAATGCAAATAATAATATAATAGGTGATGTATGTATTATATTAGTTGACACATTGCGGAGCAACGTTCGTTTTTTTTCCACAAGCGTTGTAAATAATAGTAGAAATAATATATAACATGTGCAATAATGTATCCGTCTGATAAGTAAAGCATTTCCAATATTTGCGTTTTCCAACACTGGTAACAGTAGGCAGGTATACACGAAACGACATATTACAATAGTATTAGTCCAGGTATAAGTAGGTACTTATATTGTATTGAAATCTCGAGACGCTTTTTAATAACATATTATAATGTAATATATTAATATATTATATTGTGTGTGTGTCCATTATATTGTATTGCACAAGTCTATTCTTCGGGGGGATAATACGCATTTTGTCGATACGAAATTCGCTGAAAACTATTATGCACACCTATTTTATTATTCATATAAATAAATTATAATATTTAATATTCAGACGAACGCGCGGGGGGTTTTTGCGTAGAAAATAATTTCTTTAGAAACGATCTGATCGATTTCCGTTTTACGATAACTGGCGTTGTGCAATCGTAGTTTGCACAGACGACAGTTTCCATAAAATATCAGTGCTCGCATAGTAGTAATAATAATAATTTAGATGTATAATACTATATCGTAGGTAGGCAGTATAGGTAATCATGAGGTATTAACAATTGACTATATCATATCGACGTCGGAAGTTGATGCGAATAAGACGCCATCGAGCATAATTATATTGTAATATATACCTATGGCTGGGTAAAGTTTTGTTTTGAGTAGTTTACCTTCGAGGTGTTGTTATAGTATATTAATCATTTCTAAATATTATCATCAAACGTAACGTGAAGACCATATTTCTATCGTAGTTCTTAGATGCTAGCTTACACGACCTGCAGAATATAATATGCGATTGCAATAACAATATTATTATAGATGGGGTAACTAAAAAGGGCGCCCATATAAGGTAATTTTTAGGGGAGGGATGAAGTTTAACAAGGTTCCTTAATCTGTTTATAGCGTATATATAAAGTCGGGTTTTCTTGAAAAAGAACGAGGTTGAAAGGGGATGTAATAATTTAAACATAAACTTCGAAAAAACTGAATCAAGAATAATTGAAAAGCTTATTTTATATTTAATTTTTGGTGAGCATATTAAATTATTATTTTCCAGGGGAGGCATATCCTTCTCTTGCCACCCCTAACCTATGGTACTTAAATACGTGTGTCACATGTGCTTAAAATTCGAGAAATATGAAGGGAAAATTCAATGAAATCTTCAATAATTGACTTTAATACCGACGTCATTGGCCGCGGAATTTGATGCGAAGACGCCGTCAAGAATAATATATAAAAATTTATATCAACAAATGTAGTTATATGCAGGCAGATAAAGAAAATTATTGGTATCGTAGATGCTCGCTAACATGAATAGAATATAATATGATAATATAATATATTATTATATAGTTGGTACCACCAAAACATGCGCGATTTATGCGCGGAAATTTTAAAAAAAGCGTCGTGAAAATATTATAATGAAATCGTCCGGGTCGTTATTTGAATTGATAATATTCTGTGACGGTAGAATTAATTCGGCACATCACGAGTGATTTATTTCTTTGCAAAAACAAAATTCAAATAAAGGTTTCTCTCCAGCTCCTCCTCCGGAATACTCGTCGACGCATCTAGACCGAAATGTTTCAGCTCTTTTTTGTTTTATTTTTTTCATTGACTTGCATTTACACGACAGTATTATTATTAATGCCAATGAACATTTCACCGAAATCAATTATACTCACCATGTTTGGCAGTTTTTTACTTCAGCGCTGTATATTCATATATTATACGGTCGTATTGTTATAATAAACAACTATTATGTGCTTATTTTGAAACTAGACTCGTCGACTATCAAGGTGTTTACCCATACTCGATATTTTTGGATTTTTCTTTTGATTAAATATACACTACTACACGAAGGGTTTAAAATATCGTAGAAACTAATCAAGCAGAATTTGAACTGTTTATATTTGCGACTTAGCGGGTCGCTACGAGTTTTTTCACGAGCAATGGGCCTCACTGATCAAAATGCACGCATAGTGCATAATATTATAACGGACAAAAAATAGTTATTTATCTAAATATAAAATAAAAATTGTTTTGTGCGGTGATTAAATACTTGGATAAGAAAAAGTAAAATCTTAGTAAATACGACAATTATACTATACAGCGCATCGCGTGCTGCAATTTATTATAATAATGTCCATTAAAACGTAATAATTATAACTGCAATATAATAGTTATGCAATTGCACAGTTTCTACGGTAAAAGTTTTTTGAACTATTCACAGAGTACAACAACTAGTTAGGTCATTGTTGTCGTTTTTTAATTACACATCTCACTGCATGCGTATATAATTATATGCATTTAGACGTGTGGACGATTTGACAATGTATCACTAATTTAAATTTGCCAAAGAATCCACAGGTACCTAAAACACTGTACTGTGCTGTAATAATGTGCTACTCGCGATAATGAGCTTTTTAATCACACGTTCATCCATGTTGAACTACCTAACTATGTTTCGACTTTATTTCGTTGTTGTTGTTTATCGTATTAATTAAAGTCAAACAGGTAAATTGCTTCGAATTAAAGAGAGCCCGGCTGGTTCGAGTCTTGTAAAAACTACGGTGTCGGGAATGTATAATATATATTATGTTTGAATGTAAGTAGGTACCTTTATACACAATCGAGCGTGCTGTATTTAACAGATAAGAAGGTCTCGTCGTGCATAAATGCGTACAATGGACACTATTATAAACAGAGGGTTACCAAGTTGGTTTTAAATTACCTGCGTCGGGTTTTTAGCGGAAAATTTACGTTAAACGATTTCGGCCGTTGCCATTAAATTATGTTTTAATAATTATTTGACTCCGCAGAAAAATGTAGAACATACCGGCCGTGATGGAAAGTTCGAGGAGGAGAAGAGTAAACAAAAAGTTGTTACGATATGATAGTATATAAAAAAATAAAATGTAATAAAGTAGGTACCGTGTTGTAACAACATTATAATGAAACGTTATTACGCGTATTATACAGGGTGTCCCACAAGGGTTTAAATACTAATTTTAAGTGACAGCGTAATGGAGTTTGCTTATATCTACTATTCCAATAACTTTAAAAAGCGGTAAATGTCCTTGTACTTACACGGTTACATATTATCTATACACACGTAACACGAAATTAGACTATAATTGCAGTTATTTAGTCGTTACTGAAGTCTGAAACCAAATGACGTACTCATAAAAATACGATATCGTTATAAAATATAAATTATTATGGTGGAAATAAGGCTGACGATGTTATTTCAGTGTAGATAATGAAAAAAACAAATACATTTTTTTGTAATAATTTTTTTCTTCTTCTTTAAATGCGATATTTTTTTCGCACCAATATTACACCACGCCGTTTTATCGTACGACATTTACACGGTAATCAACGTTCTGTTCCAGGAACCAATAATCGAAGATCGACGTGCCGGAAATGCATTGGCTGTGCAAGTGTGTCGTCGCCTTGGCGGTGCTGGCCACAACCACCTGGTCAGCGACGTTGCCGAGCGTAGCGCAGAAATGCGTGCCCCCCGGACCGGGGCTGTCGCTCAACGACTTCCTCTCCGGCAAGTTTTACCTGTTTGAGAGGCAGCAGGAGTTCAGCATCAAGCTTCTGCAAGCCGCCGTGACCGCTTCGCCCAAGCAGAACTTGATATTCTCACCGCACAGCATATACACGGCTCTTTTGATCACTTACTTCCTGAGTAACAACGAAACGGAAGAGACGTTAAAGCGTTTCCTCAATCTGCCACCAGAACAGGTATGCATCGCTATATCGCAATAATTGAAAGTTTCGCTAGACCAAATCCTCCGCTATCGTTTGTTAGGTACCTACCCTATTGTAATAAAGCCAAAGCAGTATTGATTAATTTGTTTAGAAATACTTAACACTAGGGTATTAAGAATAGTAAATAGTAAAATATGGGTAAGATATATGATATGCTTAAACGTATTGAACATATTGACTTCTTATACCCATTTTATTAATATACACATTATTTTCATCGAGTTCTTTAACTATTTTATTGTTCGCCCTTTTTTTAATTGATATTTTATCAATTAAATCATTTGTGTTATTAGGTTGACTTTTACGTAAACTCTTTATCATACTTTTTACTTTGTTATTCAAATTATTTAATATAGTTTCCCCTGTATAATTTGGGGAGGGGGGGGGGGGAGAAAGTTTCTTGAACTTGTTCCACATATGTAGTATATATCAACTATTTTACGACTAACCTGTATGATTTAAAATATCATAGCGCCCATGATAATGTGATTCAAAAGTATAGTTAAGGGTAGCACACTTAAATATAATAAGAGTATGACAAATTCCTGGTTTAAAAATATATTTAGGTAGGTATATTTATAAGTTACAACCCCTCAATAATTATTTATAATATATGGATTATATAGTAACAATTTTGAACCATAAAAATGTGTTGTAGTATATATACTATATAGTATTATAAATCACGTAAGAATATAAGGCGTACGTCATTACAATAAACGTATAAAATGCTTTTTCCAGCATTTTTTTTTTTAGATAGGTTTTTATACTTCTTATTAAAAAAATAACCATGCATAATATATAAAAACACGATCAGTTTTTACAACATGGTTATGACTTTTATACCTACTATAATATTATAATTCCACATGAATAATTATTTATTATAATACAGTACAGATTTCAAGGTTTTTTCGTAACTCTATGTCAAATATAAATATTGCAACTACTGTAACAAATTATTTATTATATAAGCATACACAGTAGGTCTATAAATATACAATATATTTTGTTGTAAAGTGCGTGAATAACCCCAAAAGTAAAAACTAACCTTTGAAATTTTGAGTAACGGTAGTATACGTTAACTCGTGTATTATTCATTGAAATTGTATATTATGCTTCTTTGATTTTCCCTTTTCCTTTTACTAGTTTTCAACTTTAAATCAGATTAATTTTGTTTCGGTGTAGAACTTTTAGTAAGTTTTTAGAATTTTGCAATGACTTGAGAATCTTTGCGACACACTCCAGCAAGTTGCGGAAATTCGACAAACTCTTTAAAATCGTTTACAAACTTTGTTGAATTTCGTAAAATATAATATATAAAATACTTTAACTTATTGTAACTGGCTGATTTTATCGTCGACTAACCTAATTCATCTCTGGTGCAGGGAAAACTGAGCGTGATGCAAGCGTACCGTATGGAGAAACTGTTCCACTCGATGAGGTCGTTGAACACCAGCGGAGATTACGAGTTCAGCTCGGTGGACCGTCTGTTCGTTTCCAAAAGACTTCCGATACAAAAGTGCATAGCCGACGTGTTCAAGGACGAGGTGCACAAAATGGATTTCGTCGTCGATCCTGAACTGGCCCGCATGTACATCAATAACTGGGTGACCAACCAGACCAACCAGCAAATCAAGGACCTGTTGCCTGAAGGGAAGATCACTTACGAGACGAGACTTGTGCTGGTGAGCATCATCGCATCATAATACATTAGATCCTTATTAGGTCCAACGTATATTATAAATCTTAAATTGTTCGTAATCTCGATCTCGATTAAAATTCCTTAATGGTTATTGAAGTACTTACATATATAATTACCATTACAATAAAAAACTTAATATCTCGAACTTTTTCTGTTTCGACATATCGAGTGTTAACTGTACAAATCATTATTATATTTTATGATCTAATCCGTTTGAAAACAACTTTGAAGTCACGCGTATAGTACTTCCTACAACAAGTAATAACGTTTTGTTTGTTTTTCTTCAGGCAAACGCGGCGTACTTCAAGGGCTTTTGGAGCTCGAGGTTTTCCTCGGAGAGCACAAAAGATGAGGTGTTTTACACATCACCCACCGAAAACGCCTATGTTCCGATGATGTGGCAATCCGGCGTTTTCAACCTACGTAAGCATATACCATATTTTTTTTAATGAAAAAATTATCTTAAACGTGACATATTATGTTTTAATATTATATTGTTGGAATACCTATGACTCGTAATTGCCAGCTATTTGATATTTTACTTTGTCACGAAATGCATATAAGTGGGTAGTGCTAAACATAATATACTTGACAGAAGAGGTGGTTTTAAATATTTATATAATTTAATTGTGCAAGGTATTCAAGCACCTACTTATCCAATTATTTAAACTGTATATTAAATAATTTTTAGTTATTATTTAAAAATTAGTACCTATATACATAATCTCACCGCTAGAACAGTCACAATTTAAAATGTATGGTTTTCAGAAAAAGCGAATCGAGGTTTGAACCTTCAAACATTTAAAAAAGTTTTTTACCTACGCGTTTGAAACTTAAAACTTATAAACTTGCAAATATATCCTTTACAATATAGCTTTGAAATACTCTCTTAAACTCAAAAAGTTAGACTTTTGAACTTTTACAATTTTTAAGTAAATGCAAGACTGCCATATTTTGAGATGTGGCTGTGTAAATTGGTTTTAAGATAGCAATATTATAAGTACCTACTAAAATATGACAGTATTGAATTGCATATTGTGGCTGCAGCAATATCCCAAATTATGAAATGCAATACCACCACAACTCAAATATTGTTGTTTTGAACTCAATATATCACGCGATAAATTAGTTATTTCAAATACCATTTATTATTTATGATTTGATCTTGATTTAGACATGTACATTAGCAGAACCATATTTTAGCCAACAAAATATTTTCACTAATAATAATATTTAGACAACATTATTTTAGCAAAGAAATATTTCAGCTGACTATATTTTAGCCTACTTTTAGACTACATTATTCGGTTGAAATACTGTAGGCGAAATTATTTTATGTATTATCATTTCAATCATTAAATTATAATCAACTATATTCAATAATTTTTAACAACTGTAAATATACAAGAAAAACCACATCTCCCAATGAGACCCATCTATATATTAATATTTACCAATATTTATGTTCTATCCTAGTAAAATAATAAAATTGCTGTCAAGCGTTTGAATAAATAAACAAATAAAAACTACCACCCATCTCAAATCCATCATTGCACAACGATATTGTAAACTGCGCATTATAATACCTGTAACCTGGTTTGTGTAGTGAGCTCCGACGAGTTGGGTGCGCACGTTCTGGAACTTCCGTACAAAGGAGGTGACATCAGTCTGTTCGTGATCCTGCCACCTTTCAACAAACAGCGTGGAATTAGTCAGCTTAGTAAGAGGCTCAATACGAACATTTTGCAAAATATTGTTTCGTCAGGCGAATGGACGTCACGACCCGTCGAAGTGTCTCTGCCCAAGTTTAACGTCGAACAGAGCATGGACAACCTCGTGCCGGTAAGTGAAGTTTATAAATTTAATTATGTCATTTAGATTTTATATTCGTTTTTCAAACCAATAACTTATTAAGATCCTACATACAATTAACACAGTTTATATTTTTATTTGAAATAGGTAGGAAAACTTTTGTTGCATTGGATTCTGATTTTAAAATTATATTTTCAATATTTCTTATAAACGTACATATGCTATGTAACAAATGTTTGAGTATTTTTAAATTATACGATGTTATTTAAAGCTGATTATAAAAAATGGAGTTCAATGCAACCTGATAAAAGTATATAAAAAAAAAATATATATATAATAAATATATAATAAATATATCGTAATTTGATAGTTTTACAAGGCGCGTTATCGTTTTTCCTGTCAATTTATATTTGATCGTTGAAATGGTTTGATTTAATTTTTCCGATTCGATAGCTGTCAAGTAACGTAACTAATAATTTCTTGAATAATCGTTGTGCTTTGTTGCTTCTTAACCTAATCTGCTCAGACACCTCTAAGATAAAATAGTTTTAACTAAGGTTTTGTGATTGGCTGTTGGAATACAAAAATACTTCAGCTGAAACAATATATTCACAATACAATCATTTTAATTATGACATCTTCACAACTGTCAACTGTCTACTGTGTCTATGACATACATTATAGTAGCTACGTCGATAAATTGTTTATTTAGTTTATTACGATATATGTCAACGATAATATTTTCCACCCCATTGACAAAATATTTTAGTCATGACGGAAAGTACAAAGTTGTAATTAGATAACACTTTTTTAATACCACCTACAAAACAAAGAATAATAATATGATAGAGAGAACTATTTTTGTTAGAACCAAATCTAAGAAACGTACTAAAAAATTTTAGTATATTTATCGATTTTTGCAAAATATTTGCATATTTTATTTGATATTAACACGTAGAATCTTAATCTTATACATGGGATTGAATGTAATTGTTTTATGAAATACATATTTGGCGGGTAGGTATCAAAAGAGTTTCTTTGAGAAAATGAACTTTTTTGTATGTCTAGAACCTTAAAATAAAATCTCTGTGCCGAAAAATTTAAAAAAAAAATCAAGAAACCTACCATTTTATTTTGTTCTAATTCCTCGATATATCATCACGATTACTGAACGCTGGACATTTCTTTCAGCTACTGGAGCAAATGGGAATCGGGAACGTGTTCAAAGGCAACGTTGACCTGTCAGCGTTGACCGGTAACGCGAACGACGTGACCATCGACGACGCTGTGCACAAAGCGAAAATCTCCGTAGACGAAGAGGGCACAATTGCCGCGGCGGCCACGTCCTTCCTGATGTCCCGGTCATCCAGGCCTGTCGAGCCCTTCAAGTTCCGGTGCAACCATCCTTTCATCTACTTCATGTTCGACAAGGTCACCGGATCGGTGCTGTTTATGGGCGTTTACAATTCGCCGAAATCCAATTAGATTTTAGGCGCCACCGCGCGTCGTACACCAAAGGATACGAGACACTGTGGTGCGGAACTGGAGTTTAGAGACGACCTATATATATATATTTAGTAGGATTATGACCGATCGCTTGTTGCAACGTAATTCTAAGATGTAAATATTCGTACACGTTTAAGGTCATTATTATTATTATATTATTATTATTTGTATGTATATATTATTAATGTTATATTCTAGTTTTACGCCAATCGTTTCTAATCGCGTGAGGTCATTATAATACGTATATACCTTAAAACTAAAAACATAGGCCCAATCGCGACTGTACCTATACACCAGCAAACGCTTACAATTCAGTCACAAGTGTCGCTCGAAAGTAGTTTCTGAGTTTTGTGGGTTGGCTTCCACAGGAGCATATTGTTATCGTATTCTTTTCATACATTTATATTTTGAAATTTCCTTCACATTATTTATATATCAATAATATGTACTATGATAAAAAAATATTTTTTTTCTGTGATATAAGCACCGTAGTGTGACGAAAAAGTTTGATAGTCAAACCTTCTGTCAATTTAATAAAAATATTACAATACACCGATGTCACATTTCTCTCATTTTTACGGAGTTTGTTGGAAGACGGTGCAAGTGTAGGCATAATTTATACGTGTATATTTATATAATTATATGCATTGATATTATGTGTGAATAAATATATGTATAATATTATACACGGTAATGTATAGTCGTTAGACAATAATATTATTGTGTTTTGTACTCTTGTTAACCGTTTTATAAGTGAAATAAATTACGTGATGATATACAACATAATAATAATATGTATTATTAACAGTTAACACTAGTAGAGTGAGAATAAGTGAGAGAGAGAGAGAGAGAGAGAGAGAGAGAGAGAGAGACAGACTAACAGGCAAACTGACTTACAGACAGACAGAGAGAGAGAGGGAGGGGGGTAGAATCGGTTTCAAAACTCGAATGTCTGAATTTAATTGAAAACGCTGCTGCTGCCACAATAATTATAATAATATACATATATTGTGTATAGACGGAAAGACGTGTGGGCAGCAGACGCACAAACGGTACGGCTTCCTTATATCGGTAAAGTATAATACACATTATGATTATATACGTTGTGCTGGTGCTTCGAGTAGAATATTATTATACGTCGCATAAAAGTTGTAATTAGATAACACTTTTTTAATACCACCTAC